AGAGAAAGGCTGAGGACTCAATAGCTAACTGAAGGTGGTTTCCCAGGGGAGTAAGACTGAGAAAATCTATATAGGATATATTTGTGGAAGCAGGAAATCTCAAACAAAAGGAGGATGCTATTCTTACACTACATGCAGGCTAGTGAGGGCATCAGTAGATTACCATCTATCCCCACTTCTGGTGTGCAGTAGAATAATTTTAAAATGCCAAGCTGCAGAGGGTTTGAAAAAGAAAATGGAATAATTGAAATATTGGAAATCTACTTCAAAATGGATGAATAAATCAAATCTATGTATCAAAAATTAGTGAAAAGGTTATGGTTTGATTACGATTTTAAGCATGTTCATAAAGGAAATGTCTCAAGATAAACAGTTATTAAATAGGTAAAACTAAATAAATTACATGGAAATTGGCCATTGCAACATTTTCAGAGGTTTTTCTCTAAATTCTGGTGTGCTATTTTTGATACATCAGTGCAAAGACATGGATCCCATTCTAAAATCTTTTCATGCTGAAAAAAATATTAGTACATTATTCTAAACATTCAATTTAGGTATAGTTTTTAATGCAACAGGTTCTTCTTACTATCAGCATTTTGCCTTGCTCAAAAGTGACTTCTCACTGTCTCAGTTTTCATTTCTTGTTCTGGGAGCTCTTGTTCCTCCATTTTCTGTCTTTTTGGTACAGGAAGTACACAGCAAGGTCAGACCGCAGCTTATCCTGACTTATAATAACTTCAGCAAAGAAACTGTTTCTGGACAGACCTGCAGCCATAATCAGCTTGGAGAGGGAATTAATGAAAAAGGAAACTATAATGATTATAATAGAAAGAAGCTTTCGAAAGAAGCTTTCAAAAGAACTCAAACCCATTTTCACAATACTAGGCAGTGATTCATATATTTCTGACAAAAATCAGGCAAGTGCTGTGGTTTTAGATAGAGTTCTGGTTTGAGAATTTGAAGCAAAACTCGAGGATCAGCTGTAATAAATGTGTTACTCAAAAGGCAAGGATTTAAGCAGCTCTGACACTAGTGATGAAAAGAATTCCATGTTTTAGAGGACAATATTTCTCACTTGTGGCCACTGACAATGATTGCATTCTCACAGTGGTTAGATTTAGAACCTGGAATAATAAGATTTCAAAACATTCAAAAACACTAGAAGACATAGCAGTAGCATAATTTCTACTACGATAAAACATGCCTATGAATCCAGAATAATTTAAGTTGTACTGAATAAAGACAGGTGGACTTCTGATTATTTTTCTTTATGGTGAGCAACAACTACGCCTTGCAAATAGTTACAAGACAATAATTTTATTAAAGAGTGGCATTCATTAAGCTCTTGAACTATTTTAGTTATGAAACATATTTCTGGAATGGAAAAATTTTATTAAAAAGAAAACCAAAAAACCTTTAAAAAATTAATAACTCCAGAACCAAAGAAAAACAATGTAATTCAGCTCTTTTGTCTGCAATGAATAGCTTTTGTTCTTCGTGAAGAATGGATTTCAGAAACTGCAACCAGAGTGTCTTATTTCAATCCTAAACTACCTCAATCTGCAGGTCTCAAAGTGAAAGAAGGAAACAATATATATGCCAGGTGTAATTTTGGTATTATTCTATATAGCAAAATATAATATTGAATATAAGTTGAATATAAGTGAGAGTAAAACTAATGCTGTAATGAGCAGAAGGACCTATGTCCTCCAGTGTCATATTTGCAGAGATGATATGATCCAGGAGCTCCTGTATTCATAGGTGTTACTAATTAGAGGCAAAAAAAGACAGCATAAATTTGCAGGTTTTGATCACAGTCCCACGAACGTTTTGAGTTTAAAAGTGTAAACTTTGTATCATGATATTGGTATGGTATTTTTCCCAGGGCCCCTTGCAGGCACCGTGCTCCAGTCCCTGCCTGTCCTGAGGGCCCATTGCCAAGCCCACTCCTGCTTGCCAGTAGCGTTCCTGAACTGGGGATCTGAAGCCTGGATGGAGCATTCCAGAGCATCCCTTCCCTTGTTCTCCTGCCGTGCTCCTGCTCGTACAGCCCCCAATGCTGTCAGTCAGAACAGACTTCTCAGTGCAGAACCAGTCAATTTTCCACACACCCCCCCCCCCCCCCAGTTCAAATGCATTTTCCTGGTGCTGCTGCTGGTGGCTGAGTTGTGCTGGCAGGAGCACTGTGCAGGTGCTGCCCATGGTTTGCTGCGTGAGCTGCAGAGTCCATCACCCTTGTTCCCAGCTGCCCTGTGCTTGCCGCTGTGTCTGGGGTCCAGCAGTAGCAGTCAGTTTTCTTCTCGCTGGTAGCTGGTGCAGTGCTGTGTTCTGACTTTGGGCCTGGGAACAGAGCTGGTAACAGTGATGGTTTTAGTTGTTGCTAAGTAGCATTTACCCTGACCAAGGACTTTGTGGGCCTCCTGCTCTGCCAGGGAGGAGGGAAGCTGGGAGGAAGCAGGGACAGGACACCTGACCCAAACTGACCCAAGAGGTATTCCATAGCACAGCACGGCATGGCCAGGAGGGAACCGGGAGATACCCGGAAGGGCTGGGACTGCAGGGTGGGATGAGGTATCGGTGGGTGCTTGGTCGGGCTGGGGGGGCGAGATGTTGTATTCTCTTCCCTTGTTATTTCCTTTATCAATACTATTATTGGTGGCAGCAGTAGTGATTTGTGTTATCCCTGAGTTACTGAACTGTTCTTCTCTCACCCCGTGGGAGTTGCATTCTTTTATTCTTTTCGATTCTCCTCTCCGCCCCTCCGGGGGGGGGGGGGGGGAAGAAAGAGGAACGAAAGGGGGGTAGTGAGTGAAGGAGCTGCCTGGCTGGGGTTAAACCACGACACCCTGGGGTGCCCCAAGTTCTACTGCACCCAGAGAGAGTGCAAATCAAAAACAGAGAAAAGACGAAGAATGAGGTAAAGAGCAAGCGGCCTCCGGTGCCAGGCGGGGATCCCTCTGGCTTCAAAGGGCAGAACTTCTCTCTCCCAGCCCAGGGTGCAGCTCTGGTGGAGCAGGACACAGCCCTTGGCAGCAGAAGGAAATGGCTCTGGGAGGACCCTGCGGGAGAGCGGTGCCTGCCTGGGGCCGTTCCCAAGCCGAGCAGGACGGGCAGGGCAGAGTCGGGAGCTGCTTCCAGGCCCTGCTCCCACCCCGGAGCCAGGACACGGATCTGTCCAGCGCTGCTCGCTCCTCGCTTGCCCTCCAATCGCCTGCATCCCCTCCGGTGCCCGCTCCCGGCCGTCCCGCAGCGCTGCGGGTCCCAAGTGCTCTGCAGCAGGGAGAGGCGGGGACCGGGGGGGCTCTGAGGTGTCCCGGGGCCGATGGGGGCGGTTCGGGGGGGGAGAGGTGTGAGGAGGGGGTTCCCCTGCTTGCTGGGGGGGCTCTGGAGGGGTTGTGAGGCCCCAGGTGGGGGGTGCCTGGGTGCGGGGGTCGCTGGAGGGGGCAGAGCTCCTGTCCCGGCACCTCTGGGCTGAGCCTTGCACCGGCCTCAGACACCCCCTGCTGCCCGCTCGGCAGGGAGCACCCGGGGACCGGAGCCGCTCTTCGGGCGGGCGCAGCTTAACAGCACCGGGGCCGCTCGGCTGGAGGAAACGAGCGGATGGAGACGGGCACGGCCCGCTGGGACGGGAACCGCCCGCACCCACCCGCGGCACGGCGGCGGCACCGGCACCCGCCCCGGAGGGAGCGCTGGGGATGCGCTGGGATGCGCTGGGAAGCGCCGGGGCCGAGCCGAGCCCTCGCGGATCGGATCGTGAGATACACGGGAATGATTCGCGTCAGCAGTTTCGGGGTCCTTGCCATCCTTGTGCTTCGGGTGGAATCGAAAATCCTTGAAATCATTGTATCGTGTAGAATGGGTAAGAATGATCAGTTTATGGTAGATGTTCCTGTCAATACAATGATGAAAGAGAAGAAGAAACAAAGGAATAATCCTTCTTAATCAAACGCTTTGTTACTTTAAGGGGTACTTTGTTTAACTACTCGAATGTCTCAAATGCTTTGCTAATTACAGGGGTACTTTGTTTAATGCGAGGGTGGAGGCACGGACCCAGAGGCGGAGTGCCAGCTGGATCGTTTATTGCAAAGATTACACGGTATTTATATTTTCAAGCAATTAGCCAAGCACATCTGCGTCTGCCTTGCGGTTACATCAGGTGAAAGGTCCCATCTGATTTTCTTATCGACATCCTCTTCCCAGTTCCGATGTCCTTGTTCCTTGCCAGCTCCGTCTTCCAAGTACCAGTCAGGGACAGGTCGCTCTTTAATTGCGTTCTGCGGTTCCTCCTGTCCATGATCATTGTTAATGGTCTGCTGTAGCTTCCCCTTCCCATGGTCTCTGCCAGTTCCGATACATTCCAACCCTCACACATCCCCATCCCCATCCCCATCCCCGCCGCTGTCTCTAAGGCAGCGGTGCTGTTTCCAGCCGTTGCGTCATGCCGCCGCGTGACCGCTGCGCTGGTCCCCTGGGGCCCCTCCGCCCCGCTCTCCCTCTCCTATTGGCCCGCATGCTCGGTACGTCACGTCACGGTGTGCGCCCGTTGGCTGCGGCCGGCCCGAGCGTTGCGTCAGGGCCCTTAAAAGGGGCGCGGGCGGCGGGCGCGGGGCAGCGCGGAGCGATGCGGGCGAGGATGAGCGAGCGGCGGAGCGGGGGCCGGGGCAGCTGCGGGACGGGGCCGCGCTGGGAGGCGCTGCCGGTACCGACCTCGGGCGGGGGGCGCGAGGCTCCCGGGTCCCCTCCGGCCGCTCTTTGCGGGGGGCCGGGGCGGTGCCCGCGGGGTGCTGGTAGCGCCGACCCCGCCGCGCTCTGTCCGCAGGCATCCAGGAGGCGGAGCGTGCTTGCGGACCAGCACACCTGAGGGCAGGTACGGGCGGGCGCAGCGCTGGGGCTGCCGCCGCCGCCGCTACCCCTGAGCCCAGCCCCGGCCTCAGCCGGTCCCCGTTCTCCGTGGCCCGCGCAGAGCGGCCCGCACGCAGGTGACGATGGCAGCCGAGGGCTGGGAGCTGGAGGCCTGGTACCAGGACCTGCAGGAGGTGCTGGCGGCCGCAGAGCCCAGCGGAGCGCCCCCGCCATGGGGGCCCGAGCAGGTGAGGGGCGGCAGCGGCGCGGGCAGCGCGCACGGCGCAGGGGGGCGCCGTCACCCGCTCGTGCCCGCTCTCTGCCTGCAGGGGGCGCTGCGCGGCGCGGAGGGCGCGGGCCCGGAGCCCTGCGCGCTGGACGCTGCCCTGGCTGCGGAGCTGCTGCAGCTGCTGGGGCCGGAGAGCGGGGCCGGCCCCGAGCCAGCGCCGCTGGGCGCAGCCTCCGCCCGCGGGTCCCGGTCCCGGTCCCAGCCCCAGGAGGCGGCGGCCGCTGCCCGGCGCGGGGTGAAGCGGCAGCGCTGCGGCGGCCCCGCGGCGAGCAGGGAGCGCGCCGGCGAGCAGCGGGTGCTGGAGCTGACGGCCCACAACGAGCGGCTCCGCGCAGAGATCCAGCGGCTCAGCACCGAGGTGCAGCGCACCCGGGCCGCCCTCATCGACCGCATCGTGAACCTCCGGCGGGCCTAGGAGCGCTGCGGCCCCGCAACGAGCGGGACCAGGACTCTGCTCCCCCAGAGCAGGGGGGAGCCATGAACTGGAGGGGCGCTGCCCCGCCGGCACTGACTGATGCTGTGGGGGGGGCACCGCGACCTCGCACCGTTGTAGAGGGTTTGCATTTATTACAGACACAGGCACCAGCCCGGTGTGGTCTCTGGGGAGCTGGAGGGGCGTAGGTGGTGCTACTTCTTCTGCTTCCCCTTGGGCACAGGGACTTCGGGGCTTTTGCCCTCTGCTGATGCCAGCTGCTTCTTCAGCTCCAGCAGCTTGGCCACCTCCACCTCAACCTGGGCCTTCTCTGCCTTGCTGGCCTTCAGCTGCCGAACGTGGTTGCCCTGGGGCAGGTCGGGGTGGGGGGAGGCAATGAGGGCTTGGGGAGGTAAAGGCAAGACGGGGCCACCCCTCTGCCCCCTGCTCACCTGCCTGGCCACCTCCTGCATCAGCTCCTGGAGCCGCTGGGGGTCAGCGGGGGCCACGAGGGTCTCTGGGGCTGGAGGTGTCTGCTTGGCCTGGGGAAGGACAGGAGCAGGCGTGAGCCCCAGTCCCAGCCTGCAGGGGCAGAGCTCTGCACCCATCTCCCCTCGTACTGGAGAAGGGGAGGTCACCACAGCACCCCCGAGCACCGCGAGAGCTTCAGGCTGGGAGAGGAGACAGCAAAGGAGGGGCAGACAGAAAGCAGAGGAGCTGTGGAGACCCTCACTCACCTGCCCGCCCCCAAAGCGCCTGCGCAGGGCTTCAACCCGCTCGGGCTCCAGCTTCTGGAACAGGGGACTCACCTGCAGGCAGGGGGGAGAGGGGGTCACCCCACAGAGCCAGTGCCCCTGCCTACCCCAGCACTGCACTGCCCTCCCCTGCACATACAGTGCCCACACGATGCCCAGGGGGCAGGGTGCAGGTGAAGTCGTGGCTCAGGACGAAGCAGTCCGGGGGGATGCAGAGCTGCCCCTGGATGGCCAAGCTGACACTGGGCATGTAGGGCTGCAGCATGACAGCCAGCAGGGAAGCCATGTTCACAGCCACACCAGTCACTGTCCCTGCACGCTGCCTGTGGGGCAGGAAACCCTCTGTCAGTGCCAGCCCCCAGCCTGCCCCCCAGCGCCCCCATCTTCCCCTGTACCTGTCCTTTTCATCCCCCTTGATCCGCTTCCAGGGCTCGTTCACCTGGATGTACTGGTTGCCATGGCGAGAGATGCTGAGGATGCATCTCAGAGCATCCCGGATGCTGGGGGGAAGAGGGGAGTCAGTGCCTGCTGTAGGGCAGGGCTCTGCCCTCACAGCCCTGGCTGCAGGGCTCCAGCCACGCACCGGACTTTCTCCAGCAGCTGGTGGTACTGGCGCAACTCCAGCGTGACCCGGGCCAGGAGCCGCTTGTCATCGGGTGCCAGCACCATGCTGGGGACGGTGCCGCCAAAGAACTTGCACACGAACATGCCAGCCCTGGGCACAGAGGCAGAGCAGGCGTCAGCGCAGCCTGGGGATGGGCACAGGGGCAGGCCCTGCCCGGCCCAGAACCTGTTGATGAAGTTGCCCAGGTTGTTCAGCAGCTCCGAGTTGTTCTTGAGCATGAGGTCGCTCCAGGAGAAGGCGCTGTCCTGCCCCTCGGGCCGCAGGTACAGCAGGTAGAAGCGCCAGGTGTCCGCAGGGATGCCCGTGTCCTTGGCCATGTCCCCAAACACTCCCACACCCCGGCTCTTGGAAAACTTCCCATCCTCGTAGTTCAGGTACTCTGGGGAGGGCAGCGGAGACCCCATCATGGGGCCCAAGCACAGACACCCCCCCATGACCCACAGTGCCCCTCCAGTACCTGTGGCAATGAGGTGGTTCACCAGGGTGTAGTTGTCATCAGCGCCCAGGAGCGAGCAGGGGAATACGACACTGTGGAACGGAACGTTGTCTTTGGCCATGAAGTTGTAGAGCTCAACCTGATGGGTAGCACAGGGAGGACGCATCAGTGGTGTCCAGCTCTGCCCCCGCCTCCACCCTGCAGCAGCACCAGGCTCTTACCTGCTGTGGGTTCTTCCACCACCTCTCCCACTGGTCGGTGTAGCTGGCTGTGATGGACAAGTACCCAATGGGAGCATCAAACCACACATAGAAGACCTGGGGAAGAGGGTGACCCATGAGCATGGGACCCCTGAGCAGGGCTCCCGGGGACAAGCACCACAACCCAGGGGCCAGGCTGGAGCCACCTTGTCACGGAAGCCATCGAGGGGCACGGGTGTGCCCCACTTGAGGTCACGGGTGATGCAGCGGGGCTTGAGCCCATCCCGGATCCAGGAGCGGGTGATGTAGCGAGCGTTGGCCGTCCAGTCCCCCGTGGCCCAGGACTGCTCCAGCCAGGCCTCCAGCCTCTGCTCCAGCTGCAGGGAACACACGGGGGTGGGCAGGGGTGCCCCAACCCCTCTGCGCTCCCCCAGGGACGAGGCTCACCTTGGGGAGGTCCAGGAAGAGGTGCTGGGTGGGCTTCACTACGGGGACACCCCTGCAGAGCTTGCACTGGGGGCTCTGTCAGCAGAAACAGGGGTTGGACAAAGCCCAGGGCAAGGCTGGGGGGGCCTGAGGCAGAGCGGGGGCAGGGCCGTGGGGCGGTCCCCAGGGCGCTCCTGTCCCACCTTCAGCTCCACAGCGTTGATGAGTTTGCCGCATTTATCACACTGGTCCCCCCGCGCCTCCTCGTAGCCGCAGAAGGGGCAAGTGCCCTCCACGAAGCGGTCGGCCAAGAAGCGCCGGCAGCCCTCGCACTGCAGCTGCTCCACCGTGTCCTGCAGCAGGCACCCGCGCGCCAGCAGGCGCTGGAAGATGTCCTGGGCGATCCTGGGACAGGACAGGAAGGGGGGGAGCTCCCCATCAGCCAAGGAGCACAAAGCACCCTCAGCCAGGCCCATGGGGCTGCCCCCGGCACGCGCGCCCCTCACGTGGTCTGCCTCGGCGTGGTGGTGCGGCCGAAGCAGTCGAAGGAGATGTCAAACCAGCGGTAGATGTCGGCGTGGATGGCGTGGTACTTGTCACAGATCTCCTGCGGCGTCAGCCCCTCCTCCACCGCCTTGGTCTCGGTGGCGGTGCCGTACTCGTCCGTGCCGCACACGTAGAGCGTGTTCCAGTTCCGCAGGCGGCAGTACCTGCCGGGCAGGGCCCTGTGAGCCCCCTGCGGGTGCCAGGGGCCACGGCAGCCCCCGATGGAGACCCCCAGGGAGCCCTCCCGCAGCCGAGCGTCACCTGGCAAAGGTGTCAGCGCTGAGGACGCAGCCGATGATGTTGCCAAGGTGGGGCACGTTGTTCACATAGGGCAGAGCGCTGGTGATCAGGACGTTCCTCATGCCCTCCACGGGCAGCCTGGCACGGGCAGGGCACTCAGGGCAGGCACAAGGAGCAACAGGGCCTCCCCCGCACACACAGCAATGTGGGAGCGGCCCGGGCCGGGGCGCGTGGGGCAGCCCTCATGCGGCCCCAGGACTCACACAGGTTTCTGAGGCTGCCAGGGCTTGGGCAGCGCCGCAGCCCCACGGGCCCAGGCGTCCGCAGCAGCTGCGATCTCCTCCTCTGTCAGGGCCCGCTCGGAACCTTCCTCCTCCTGCAGGAGAAGCAGGTCCCGGTAAGAAGCTGTCAGCAGCGGTGCCACGGGGGCCCACCCTGGGGCCAGGGCTGCACCTCGGGCTCGTTACTGGTGGCTTTGTGCATGGCCAGGCAGGGCGGAGGCTGCTTCTGCAGGTAGGACTTGAACTCCAGCAGTGCCTCGGGCATCAGGACGCTGTCGGCAGCCTCCCTGCAAGCCTCCAAGAGCGTCACGTTCTGGAACCAGGTCCTCAGTGCCTGCAGCTCGCCTCGGGAGGTGACGAGAGAGCAGCGTGATTCTTACAGCCACGGCAGGGCAAGGGAGCCCCCTCCGTGCCACGCTTACCTGGCAGGCTGCTCTCCTCCGGCAGGACAGGGAACAAGGTGCCCCACACAACCACATCGGCCACGGACGGGGTGTCCTGCACCAGAGCAGCCGTCAGCCGGGGCAGCCCCCCAGGGACAAGGCCCCAGCGCGCCCCGGTGCCACTCACCCCCGCGAGGAAGGCAGCGCCCGTCCTGGCCAGGCTCTGATCGATGTGGGCCAGCGGCTCCCGCAGGGCCTGCACCGCCTCCGGCGCCTTCCTGCCGAGCACCAGCCGGGCGTAGAGCGCGGCGGCGGCCACGGGCTGCGGGCGAGGGCAGCGCGGTCAATGCGGGCCGGGCGCGGCAGGGGGGGGGGGGGGCCGGTGTCCGCGCACCCACCTGCAGCTCGGTGGCCTCCCACTCCAGCCACTGGTTGCCGAGGTCCGAGGGCGCGTCCCCGCGGCACAGGAAGAAGAACCTGAGGGGGGCAGAGGGTTGAGGAGCGGGCGGGGCAGCGGCGGCCCGCGCCCCCCGGGACTCACTGGCAGATGGCGTTGGGGGAGAAAAGGACGGCGCCGCTCTCCAGCTCCAGCGCCGGGGCCCACGGCGGCCTCAGCGGGGCTCGCGGCGGCTCTGCGGGAGACACGAGTGAGCGCCCGCGGGGCTCGGCCCGGCCCGGCCCGGGGTGGGGCGGGGGAGGCCGCGCTCACCGCTGGGGCCGCCCCACACGAGCTGCACCGGGGCGGCGGCGGCGCCGGCGGCCGCCAGCACCTTCAGCGCCGCGGGGCCGCGCACCGGGAGCCGCAGCCGCATGGCCGCGAGCGGGGCACGCCGGGACCGCGCTCTGCCGCCCCGCCAGCCGCAACTCTCGCGAGAGCAGCGGTCGCCATGGCGACCTGCGGGGACAGCGCCGCCCTGCGGGCACCGGGGGTACCGCGGGCACCGGCGAGCACGGGAGGGAGCCGCAGCCGGGGCAGCCCCTGGCGCGCCCTCCGCCCGCCCGGCACCGGCTGCAGCGCTGGCCCCGCTGGCTCTGCCTGGCCCGGGGGCACCGGTGTGCCCTCAGCCCGTGCCCCCCCCTACACACACGCATCCGCCCCCCAGGACCATGGCAGCTGCTGCGGCAGGAGCGCTGCGGGACCCAGCCAGGGCATCCACCCCCGAGGAGGAGGTCCCACTGCCCCCCGTGAGCTCAGCTCCCAGCCCCATGGCTGCAGGCACTGGGGTTCAGTTCCCCCTTTTCCCAGCGCCACAGCCTCGGCTCCTGCTGCGCTGAGCTGTTTATTGGGTACACTGGGAGGTACAGAGACACCCCAACGGCTGGGAACGGGGGAGCAGAGCCAGGGTATATACAAGCTGGGGGGGAGGAAAGGGAGGGATTCCCAGTGGGAACACCCAGAGCTGGGGGGCTCCAGGGTGCTCTCACTTCTGCAGCCGCTTGATGCGGGCGTCTATGGCCGCAAAGTTGTCCTCCACAATGGCCAGGTTCTCCTTCATCGTCTTCTGGACCTGGGTGGGGGGTGCACAGGGAAGGGGTCAGTGGTGGGGGGCAGGATGGGGACCCCGCCGCTCCACCCCATGGTTGCTGGTGGGACCCACCTCTGCCAGCAGCACCGTGTTGTCCTTGAGAGCCCCAGCCACCTCCTGCTGCGTGGTGTCCAAGTGCAGCAGGACCTGCCCGAACTGGATGGCTGAGGGGAGGAGAAAGCTCAGTGCTGGGGGCAGGGGGGGACAGGAGCAGTGTCCCCACCCCACGACACGGCCCCAGCGTTCCCTCCAGCCCCTCACCTTGCTCATGCAGGTCCCTGAGGGTCACCAACCTCTGCACGACGTCGGGCAGGGCGCTGGCCACCGGGTCCCAGCGCTGCAGCGTCTCGTAGACCTGGTGGATCTGGGGTGCAGCAAGAAGCGGGGAGCGGGTCAGGGCTGTGTCTGGGGGGGGCATGGACCCCCTGCCACACTGGGGGTGACTGCGGGGACCCTCACCTTGCTCTGGGTATCGGCGTCCTGCACAGTTGACTTGTGCTTGGCAATCTCATTCACCTTCCCCAGGACACTCTGGGGACAGGAGGGAGCAGATGGGAGACGCCAAATCCACCCGTGCTCACCCCATGGCACCCCTCTTCCCATTCCCTCCTTCCATCCCCCCTCACCTGCAGTCGGGCCTCCACTTGGTCCAGCACAGCCACGTCCAGGATGTTCACCTTGGCCTGCAGGACCTGCACGGTCTCCTGGGGACAGAGAGTGGGATGAGGGGAGACACAGCAGCACCCTGGGTGCTACGGGCACAGCCTGGGAGGCAAAGGGACCCTGCCTCCCACCACCATCCATTTCACTCACCATGAGGCTGGTGCCCTTCAGCCCAACCAACAGTGGGTTCTGTGGGGAAAGGAAATGCATCAGTGGGGCAGGATGTGGGGCAGGAGGGATGTGGCAGGAACCCCCTCAAGCCCCTCACCTGGCTGTCGGGCTCACACCGCACCATGGCCTCCAGCTGTGCCAGGCGCTTCTCCAGCTCGGCCATCTGCAGCAAGATGGAACCATGGAATGGGGTTGGGATGAAGGGACCTTAAAGCTCCTCCAGCTCCAGGGACCCCTTCCACTGGAGCAGGGTGCTCCAAGCCCCTGTGTCCAACCTGGCCTTGAGCACTGCCAGGGATGGGGCAGCCCCAGCTTCTCTGGGCACCCTGTGCCAGCGCCTCAGCACCCTCACAGGGAAGAGCTTCTGCCTCAGAGCTCAGCTCAGGCTCCCCTCGGGCAGGTTCAAGCCATTCCCCTTGCCCTGTCCCTGCATCCCCTGTCCCAAGCCCCTCTCCAGGTTCCCTGCAGCCCCTTTAGGCACTGGAGCTGCTCTCAGGTCTCCCCTTCAGGAGCCTTCTCTTCTCCAGGCTGCCCCAGCCCAGCTCTCTCCGCCTGGCTCCAGAGCAGAGCTGCTCCAGCCCTCGCAGCATCCCCATGGCCTCCCCTGGCCTCGCTCCAGCAGCTCCAGGTCCCTGTCAGGACTCACCTTGGCGCTCTGGGCAAACTGCTCCTGCTCCGGCCTCCAGTAGAGCTCGAAGGTGACGGCGTCTGCGGCGGGCGCTGGGGCTTTGGCAGGGCTCTTCCCTGGGGTCCCTTTACTGCACTTGGCCACCTCCAGCTGCTGCAGCAGGCGCCTGGCAGGGAGGGGAAGGTGGGCGCAGGACCCCGGCACCCTCCCCTTGCCCCCCAAGCTGCCCCCAGCTCCCCACTCACTTGGCCAGGGCACCGTCAGGGTCTGCGAAGTCGATGGCTGCGGTGGGGCCCAGGAGCTTCTCCAGGTGGCTGGAGACCAACTGCTGCTTCAGGCCCTCGACCTGCCTGGCCAAGGCCATGGGTGTCAGCTCCTCCTCTGCTGCTGCATCCTTCACTGTGCTCTGAGAGGGAGGAAAGGGCAGCTGGGTCACCCCCCGGGGGTCATGGGGCGCTTGTGTCACCCCTCTGGTGATGGGGCGGTTGTGCCACTCTGGTGGAGGGTTGATGCTCACCTGGATCTGCTCCACCTCCCTGGCCAGCTCCTGCACCTCGTGCTGCAGCCGCTGGTACCGCTGCTGAGGCGTCTCTTTGGCACCAAGACCCTCACCAACCTGCAGAGAGAGGAACGGGGTGGGGGGTCCATGATCTGCCTGAGCTCCAGGCACCTGCAATGGAACACTGGTACCCACCCATCCATGCACATACACACGGGTGAGGCCCTCAACAGACAAGCAGGAGCACAATGTTCACAAAACCCTCATCCTCATGCAGCGCTCACGGGCTTCAGAGAGGGCACGAGCTGCCCAGGAGGGTCCTGAGCACACTGGTGACAGCACCGTCCTCCAAGTGACAGGAGCCAGCAAGGAGAGGGCCTCTGCTGGAGCTCATCTCCAGCAAGGAGAGTCCAAGACAGCCTGGGCTGCGGTAACCAGGAGATGGTGGGGCTGAGGGAGGGCAGGAGGGGTCCTGGGCTTTGGGCCTCCTCAAAGGTCTGCTTGGGTCAGGCAATGGGAGGGACCCAAGAAAGCTTCCTGATGTCCCAGGAGCGCCTCCAAGCTCCAGAGCGCCACATCCCAAGCAGGCAGCCAGGAGAGCCAGGAGCTCCCGGCCAAAGGCAGGCAGGGACAGGAGGACACAGAGGCCGGAGCAGGGAAGCTGGCAGGAGGAGACATTGCCCTGGCAGCCAGGGATGGGGTTGGGAAAGCCAAAGCCCAGCTGGAAGTCAGCCTGCTCTGGGATGTGCAAGGCAACGAGGGCTGCCCAGCCCCACCTCCCTTCCTTGAGCTACTCAGAGGTGCTCAAGGACATTTCAGGTACTCAGGGGCTCTTTGCCTTGGTCTTCATCAGCAAGAGCCCCAGCCACGCTGCCCAAGGCACAGAAGGCAAAGGCAGGGACTGGGAGAACCTGTGGGGAACTGTAGGGGATCAGGTTCAAGAACATCTAAGGGAAGTGAAGGTGCCCAAGTCACAGAACCAGAGACCGGGTTGGGCTGAAGGGACCTTAAAGCTCCTCCAGCTCCAATCCCTGCCACGGCCAGGGACCCCTTCCACTGGAGCAGGGTGCTCCGAGGCCACAGGACCTGACGAGATGCATCTGTGGGTGCTGCCGGAGCTGGTGGCTGAGGTTCCCAAGCCATTGTCCATCAGCTGTGAGAAGTCCTGGTGCTGAAGCTCCCACTGCCTGGAAATGGGGAAATATCCCCCCGGTTTTAAAAAGGGAAAGGAGGAAGAGGCCTGGGAGGCCAGGCGGGTCAGTCTGACCCCTGTGCCAGCAAGATCCTGGAACAGAGCCTCCTGGAAAACACACAGAGGCACACGGACAATGGGGGGGACTGGTGACAGCCAACACGGCATCTCTAAGGGCAAGTCATGCCTGGCAAATGTGGTGGCTTTATATGATGTAGCCAGTGTTGGTGGACAAGGAGGGAATCTCCCTGGGTTTGTGCAAGGCGTTTGACACTGTCTCTGAACTGGATTTGATGGGTGGAGCACCCAGTGGATACGGAATGGGCTGGGTGGCCACACACAGGGAGCTGTGGTCAATGGCTCCATGTCCACGTGGTGACCAGCTATGCCATCCAGAGGGACCTGGACAGGCTGGAGAGGCAGAACCACGCGAACCTCATGGAGCTCAACCAGGCCAAGGGCAAGGTCCTGCTCCTGGGTCAGGGCAATCCCAGCCCGCACACAGGCTGGAGGAGACTGGATGGGGGAGCCCTGAGGAGAAGGACTTGGGGTCTTGGCTGAGAAGCTCCCCATGGGACGGCTCTGTGGGACTCCAAGGCTACAACTGGAACCCATTTCCAGGTCCATGAATGACAAACAAACATCAAGAGATCTCAGCGTGGCTTCACCAAGGGGAGGTCAGGCTTGAGCAGCTCCATGACTTCCACCATGAACTGGCCGGTAGAGACAGCGGAGCTGTGGGCAGTGCCTGCTGACCTCGGAAAGCCTTCGGCACGCTCTCCAAGAGAAGCTGTTGCAGCCTGTGCTGGATGAGGGGGCCACGGGGGCACTGGAAGTGGCCAAAAAGCAAAGCCCAGAGGCTGGAGAGCACCGGTCCTACTCCAGCTGGAGGCCAGTAAGAACCAGCGTATCCAGGGCTCAGCGCTGGGGCTGCTGCCTTCATTAATGATACCTTCATTAACGGGCTGGAGCATGGGGCAGGCTGAGCTTCATCCTTGCCTCATCCTCACCTTCTGGTGTCTGCTGTCTAGAGGGACCTCATGGAGCAAAACAAGGAGCAGTGCAAAGCCCTGGCGTGGGGAAGACCAGCCCCCTGCACCAGGATATGCTGGAAAGCAGCTCTGGAGAAGGCCCCATAGGTCTTGGTGGACACCAAGTTAAACATGGCAGCAATCATGGTGTGAGCAGCACCAGGAGCACGGTGGTTGAGGGAGGGCAGCCCTCTCCTCAGCACTGCCAAGGCCACAGCTGGCAAAGGAGACGGTGGAGTCGCCATGCTTGGAGATGCTCCTGGGCAACCCCAGTGGCCCTGCTTGAGCTGCTGGGTTGGAGCAGAGCTCCAGAGGTCCCATCCCAGCTCCACCCTGGGCAGGTTGCTGCGAGCGGTGGCCTGGGGCAGGGATGTCCCTGTGGGGCCGGTGCTCTGGGCACCTCTGCTCTCACCATTTCATACTCCCCAGACTCGTAGCCCGTTGTCCTGGTCTTGGTGATGCGGTCAGAGAAATCTAAAAGGAGAAGAGCAGAGGGGTCACCCCAAAGCCCCCAGGGTCCCCCAGGCCAACCCTTCCCCGTGCTCCTTGGCTCACCCACTCCCTCGGTGCCCAGGCGCTTGTCCCTGAACTTCTCATAGGCAGCATTAGGGTTGATGATGAGATGCTCCACACTGGTACTGGTGAGCTCCTCCTGCACACAACCCTTGGGGTTAGGGATGAGGCAACAAACAAGGGCACGAGGGGCCTTGGTGGGGACAGTGATGGGCAGAGCAGGGGCAAAGGGAGCCCCGTGTTCCCCAGAACACAGCCCCCAGGGCCTGGTGGGGGGACACTGGGTCCTCCTGGCAGCAGGGCCACAATTCCAAGGCTTGAAACCCTTTGGTAGCAGTCTGAGGAACCCAGCCCAGGGGGGCTGCATCTGCCCCACAGCCACATCTCGGGGTGGCTCCCACCACCCACGCTGGGCACAGGGGTGGTCGTAGAACATCAGCCCCTCAAAGGGGCTTTGCCCAGAGCCTGGAGCATGAGTGGAGATTGGGAGCCTGGGGGGGACCCCAGAGCATCAGGCACCCAAAGGGCTCCTCCAGCAGCCCCTGGGCAGCCGCCGTGGCCTGGGGGAGGCGCGGGGGGAGCTGCAGGAGGGAGGGGGCAGCAGCGGGAGCAGCGGCGCAGCAGCTGACGGGGGGTGCTCTTACCAGCTCCTTGCGTTCCCCAGAGGTGAGAAAGTCAGAGCAAGGGGGGGGAAGAGAAGAGACAAAACCGCATTAGAAGGTTGGGCCGGGGCCAACCCCCCCCGTGGCCCTGCAGCGAGGCTCAGCCCCGCCATGGGGCACAGGGGGGCCATGGGGCTGCCCCCCTCTATGGCCCCCAGGGGCAACCAGCACTGGAAGCAACCAGGGCCACGCTGGGGAGGCGGCCGCAGGAGCAGGGTGCGGGGGGTGGCGCAGCCAAGCCCCTGCTCTGGCTCTTCTGTAACCCCTGGGGCAGAAGTGAGCAGAGCTGGGGGGCAGGAAGGGCCCCCCCCCGAGCAGCCCAATGCTTGGCAGCTCCCCCAGGGGTTGGAGAAGGCAAGAGCTGGGGTGCAGGGGGGCAAAACCCAGGCCAGAGCCTGGAGGAGCTCGAGCTGGGCCCTGCTCAGCAGGGACAGAGGCTCAGCTGCGTCCTGCCCCACAGCGTGCAGGCAGCGTGGTTGGGGGGCAGGAGCCCCACCACGCAGGGGTACCAAAAGACAAAGAGGGCAGCGCATGCAGTCAGCAGGCAACGAGAGCAAAGGAGAGCGGGGAGGAGGCACCAGCAGCACTTGTGTCCTGAGCCCCAGCACTGCCCCCCCTCTGCCCCACGGCGGGGCAGGCCCCATAGCGGGGCACTGCTGACCCCATGGTACATGCAGGAAGAGCCTCACCCCCCAGCACGCGACACCAGAGCAGCACCCGGGGCTTACTTGTGCAAACTTAGAGTCCAGCAAAGGTGGGGAGCGGGGGGAAAACGCAGGTCAGGTCAGCACGGCCAGAGGCAGACACAGGGAGCTGCGGGGGGGGGCAGGAGGAGGGGGACAGAGGGAGGGGACAGCACCCACAGCCCCACAACCCGCCTGGGAACACGGGGGGGGGTCACTGGGCTGGCACCACTCTGGTCCTGGGCACTGTTCTGGTGTGACCGAGGCCTGACGGGGGCCGTTCTGGCTGGAAACAATGCGTTCTGGTGTGTCCTGGGTGTCCCAAGGGATCTGTTGGCCCCCCTCAGAACTGGGGGGCTGGGACTGCCCCATGGCTGTACCCCAAAACCACTCCCTGCACCCTGGGTCTTGCCTCCATGGTGCCAAATCCTGGCTCTCCCCTCACCAGCACCAATCAGGAGCACATTCCCAAGGGTCTGTGATCCAGGAGCACCCATCAGCCTTGGCCTCCCCAGCAGAGCCAGGGGTCACCACGCAGCCCTTGTGCTGTGCCAGCCGTGGGGACGGGCCCCCTGGTGCCACCCCCATGTCCAAGCCACCATGCAGCAGCCCCATGGCCTGGATGTGCCAGGTCCGGGGTTCTCTGGGACCCTGATGCCTTTTGGGGTTGTTTTATGGGGGTGAACTCCACCTCCACAGGCTCCCCTCTCCCCCCCCCCGTGTGCTGTCCCCCTGCACGGCTCCTGCTGCCCTCAGCCAGGTTCCACAGGATGGGGGTGCCACAGGGAGGGGGGACCCCAAGGAGGGGGGGCACTGCACTTCCTGCCCCCCCCGGCAGTGCATGGGGGTGGCACAGGGCCAGGACACGAGGGGGATGGGGGGGATGCAGGCGCTGGGGGGCCCGGGGGGGTCTCACCGCCTCGAACTCGGCCTGGTCGTCCTCAGGCAGGTCACTGGTCTCATAGACATCGGGCTCGTTCCTGGCCTGCAGCACGAGCGGGGTTCGGTGAGAGCCGCCTGAGCAGGGACCCCAAAACAGCCCCCGACACCTCCCACTGCCCCTGCACCCCAACACCTCCCACTGCCCCTGCACGCCAACACCTCCCATTGCCCCTGCACCCCCAAACACCTCCCCACCCCACCCACCACTGCCCCTGCACCCACACCTCCCATTGTCCCTGCACCCCCAAACACCTCCCACTGCCCCTGCACGCCAACACCCCCACCCCACACACTCCCACTGCCCCTGCACCCCAACACTCCCATTGCCCCTGCACCCCCAAACACCTCCCACTGCCCCTGCACCCAACACTCCCATTGCCCCTGCACCCCCAACCATGCCCCTGCACCCCAACACCTCCCATTGCCCCTGCACCCCAACACCTCCCATTGCCCTGCACCCCCAAACACCTCCCACTGCCCCTGCACCCAACACCTCCCATTGCCCCTGCACCACACCTCCCATTGCCCCTGCACCCACACCTCCCATTGCCCCTGCACCCCCAAACACCTCCCACTGCCCCTGCACCCACACCTCCCATTGCCCCTGCACCCCCAAACACCTCCCACTGCCCCTGCACCCCGACACCTCCCATTGCCCCTGCACCCCCAAACACCTCCCACTGCCCCTGCACCCCAACACCTCCCATTGCCCCTGCACCCCCAAACACCTCCCATTGCCCCTGCACCCCCAAACACCTCCCACTGCCCCTGCACCCCAACACCTCCCATTGCCCCTGCACCCCCAAACACCTCCCATTGCCCCTGCACCCCCAAACTCCCATTGCCCCGCACCCCCAACACCCACTGCCCCGCACCCCACACCTCCCACTGCCCCTGCACCCCGACACCCCCAGCCCCTGCACCCCAACACCTCCCATGCCCCTGCACCCACACCTCCCATTGCACACCTCCCATTGCCCCTGCACCCCAACACCTCCCATTGCCCCTGCACCCCCAAACACCTCCCACTGCCCCTGCACCCCAACACCTCCCATTGCCCCTGCACCCCCAAACACCTCCCATTGCCCCTGCACCCCAACACTCCCACCCTGCACCCACACCTCCCACTGCCCCTGCCCCCCAACACCCCCATGCCCCCACCCCCAACCCCATCCCCTGCACCCCGACACCTCCCATTGCCCCTGCACCCCCACACCTCCCATTGCCCCTGCACCCCGACACCTCCCATTGCCCCTGCACCCGACACCTCCCATTGCCCCTGCACCCCCAAACACCTCCCACTGCCCCTGCACCCCAACACCTCCCATTGCCCCTGCACCCCCAAACACCTCCCATTGCCCCTGCACCCCAACACCTCCCATTGCCCCTGCCCCCCAAACACCTCCCACTGCCCCTGCACCCCGACACCTCCCATTGCCCCTGCACCCCCAAACACCTCCCACTGCCCCTGCACCCCAACACCTCCCATTGCCCCTGCACCCCCAAACACCTCCCACTGCCCCTGCACCCCCAAACACCTCCCATTGCCCCTGCACCCCCAAACACCTCCCACTGCCCCTGCACCCCCAAACACCTCCCACTGCCCCTGCACCCCGACACCTCCCATTGCCCCTGCACCCCCAAACACCTCCCACTGCCCCTGCACCCCAACACCTCCCATTGCCCCTGCACCCCCAAACACCTCCCACTGCCCCTGCACCCCCAAACACCTCCCATTGCCCCTGCACCCCCAAACACCTCCCACTGCCCCTGCACCCCCAAACACCTCCCACTGCCCCTGCACCCCCAAACACCTCCCATTGCCCCTGCACCCCCAAACACCTCCCATTGCCCCTGCACCCCGACACCTCCCATTGCCCCTGCACCCCCAAATCCCATTGCCCCTGCACCCCGACACCTCCATTGCCCCTGCACCCACCTCCCACTGCCCCTGCACCCCAACACCTCCCACTGCCCCTGCACCCCCAAACACCTCCCATTGCCCCTGCAACCCGACACCTCCCATTGCCCCTGCACCCCCAAACCTCCCATTGCTGAACCCGACACCTCCCATTGCCCCTGCACCCCCAAACACCTCCCACTGCCCCTGCACCCCAACACCTCCCATTGTCCCTGCACCCCCAAACACCTCCCACTGCCCCTGCACCCCAACACCTCCCATTGTCCCTGCACCCCAACACCTCCCATTGCCCCTGCACCCCCAAACACCTCCCACTGCCCCACCCCAACACCTCCCATTGTCCCTGCACCCCAACACCTCCCATTGCCCCTGCACCCCCAAACACCTCCCATTGCCCCTGCACCCCCAAACACCTCCCACTGCCCCTGCACCCCAACACCTCCCATTGCCCCTGCACCCCAACACCTCCCATTGCCCCTGCACCCCAACACCTCCCACTGCCCCTGCACCCCAACACCTCCCATTGCCCCTGCACCCCCAAACACCTCCCACTGCCCCTGCACCCCAACATCTCCCATTGCCCCTGCACCCCAACACCTCCCACTGCCCCTGCACCCCCAAACACCTCCCATTGCCCCTGCACCCCCAAACACCTCCCATTGCCCCTGCACCCCAACACCTCCCATTGCCCCTGCACCCCAACACCTCTCATTGTCCCTGCACCCCCCAACACCCCACGGGCTGACCTGGACCCCCTCTGCCATCCCCTCTCCCCCCCACAGCTCCCACAGTTCATGAGGACCCCCCCGGTGCCCCCCGCACCCACCCCCCCCTCAGCCTCCCACAGGCCCCGCGATCCCCTCACGTCCGCAGGGCCCCCCGATCTCCTCACGCCCCCCCAGTGCCGCGGCCCCGCACTCACGATGCCGGGCAGGTCCGCGTACTTGGGGTCGGCCATGGCAGGGGTCGGTACCGGGGGACTCAGTGCCCGGGGCCGGTAACGTGGGGGGGAAACCAGGCCCGGGTCCGCCAAGAGCCGAGCGGGGCCTGGGCGGGCGGGGCAGCTCTCGCGAGAACAGCGCGGGAAGGGCGCGGGGGCGGGGCCTGCGCAGAGGGGGCGGGGGGCGAAAGGAGGCAGTGGGGGAAGGCGGGGGAGGTGTCCATGGGATGGCTGGAGCGGGGGGGGGACATGGGGGGGGCATGGGGGGCACATGGGGAGGACATGGGGGAAACATGGTGGGCACATGGGGGGATATGGGGGGCACATGGGGGGGACATGGGGGGGACATGGGGGGGACATGGGGGCCACATGGGGGCCACATGGGGGGGACATGGGGGAAACATGGTGGGCACATGGGGGGGATATGGGGGGCACATGGGGGGGACATGGGGGGCACATGGGGGGGACATGCGGGGGACATGGAGGGCACATGGGGGGGACATGGGGGGCACATGGAAACATGGTGGGCACATGGGGGGGATATGGGGGCACATGGGGCAGGACATGGGGGGCACATGGAGGGGGACATGGGGGGCATATGGGGGATACCCACGGGAGCTACCCAAGCGGACGGGTCACACAGAGGGTACCCACAAGGGTTACATAAGGAGGGTGCTCGGGGTGGGCTGTGGGCGGGGGGGCTCCATGCAGGCGTGGTTTTGGGGGGCAGAGCTGGGGGGGGTCACACACGAATGTGCCCTGCCTCAGTGCTGGGGGAGGGGCATGAGTCAGACCTGGGGGGTTCCCCAGCGGGGGAAGGGACCTGGCCCTGTGCCGACACCACCCCCCCCCCCTCAATCCGGACCAGAGTCGCCACCGTCCTGCCCCCCCCGCAGTGAATCAGCACTCTGGGGGAGCGTTCCCCCTCATCATCTCCGTCCACCTTAAGATGCTCCGACAGCTCCACCTTAACACGGCGGGGGGGGGAGAACGGGCAGGGGGCGGTTCCCCCCCTCCCCATCACCCGGTACCGGGGCTGCAGCGGCGACAGCGGCGCCGTCACTGGAGCAGGGAGCGCTGCGGAGCTTCCCCCACCCCGGCACCGCCCTCCCACCACCCCCTGCACCCCCGGGTACCATCCTGCATCCCTGGGTACCACCCTACACCACCGGACAGCATCCTGCATCCCTGGGTACCACCCTGCATCCCGGAGAGCATCCTGCATCCCTGGGTACCACCCTGCATCCCGGAGAGCATCCTGCATCCCTGGGTACCACCCTGCATCCCAGACGGCATTCTGCATCCTTGGGTACCACCCTGCATCCCGGAGAGCATCCTGCATCCCTGGGTACCACCCTGCATCCCGGAGAGCATCCTGCATCCCGGGTACCACTTGATCCTCCTGTTGTCAGCATCACTCTTGGGCATCACCCGCATCCCCGGGTGACTCCCCGCACCCTCCCGGCTCCCACAAGCACCCTTGGGCCCTCTCTCCGGGTCCCGTGTCCTCGCTCCTAAACTCTTGTCGCTGCCCCCCGGTGCCGCCATGGCCGAGCCCAGCACCGAGTGCAGCATCAAGGTCCTGTGCCGGTTCCGGCCCCTCAGCCCCGCCGAGATCCTGCGTGGGGACCGGTTCCTGCCCGTGTTCCAGGGCGATGACAGCGTCGTGGTGGGGGTGAGTGCGGGGGGGGGGGATCACCGGGATGGGGGACAACCGGCCTGAGGGAGGGGGACAGGATATGGGTCGGCTTGAGGGGGGAGAACCTGTTTGGGGGGGTCGCCCTGGGTGTGGCCCAAAGGTCCCCCCCCATTCAACCGCTTCCTCCTCCGGCCCCCCCCCCCCCCAATTCCTGATGTTCCAGCGCTCCCAGTTTATCCCAGTCTCTCCCAGTGCCCGCGGGGGGGTTGTTTACAATGAGCGGAGACGCCCCGTGGGGGCCACGATCGGGACCCAAGAGCATCACTGAGGGGGGTTTGTTTTTGCCGCAGCCCCCCCCCACTGCGGCCCTGCCCTTTGTCAGGGGTGTAGTGAAGGGGGGGGTTCAGGGACACTCCCCCCAATATAACGCCCCCCCATTAACATCAGCACCCGGGTACGGGGATGTTCCGACCCTGAGGCGGGGGTTCCTTGGAGGGGAGGGGGCATCTCCCATGGGGCTGCAGTGGGGCTGTAGCGGAGGGGGGGTGTCGCTGTGCGGTTGTGCCGGCGCAATGCGGGGTGTTGCGGGGATGGTTGGGGGGGGGATGGAGGATGCAGGGCTCGGGGGGGGGGGGGGGCACGGCAATGGCGGTGGATGAGGGGTGCGGGCCCGTCAGCGGGCGGGACTGTGGTGCCCGTTTGCGGGCTGCGGCGTTTCAGCACCGGGACCTGGACAGCTCCCGGCCAGCGCTGGGGGCTACGGGGGCTGTGGGGAGCGGGGGGGAATGGGATGCTATGGGGGCCTATGGGTCCTATGGGTGCTGGGGTGCTATGGGGGCCTATGGGTCCTATGGGTGCTGGGGTACTATGGGGGCCTATGGGTCCTATGGGTGCTGGGGTGCTATGGGGGCCTATAGGTGCTATGGGGGCTGGGGTGCTATGGAGGCCTATGGGTCCTATGGGTGCTGGGGTGCTATGGGGGCCTATAGGTCCTATGGGGGCTGGGGTGCTATGGGGGCCTATAGGTCCTATAGGGGCTGGGGTGCTATGGGGGCCTATGGGTCCTATGGGTGCTGGGGTGCTATGGTTGCCTGTGTAGGTCTGGAGATGTATTGGTGTGAGGACATTGGGATCTATGGGGAGCTGGGGGGGAGCTGAGCATCTCTGGGGATCTATGGGGGGGTGTGGGGCGCTAAGGGTGTAGGGTGGCTGAGGGTGTCTAGGGCCTACTGGGGGCTGGGGGGAGTGGGAGTCTGTTTGGCTTGGGAGGCTGGGGTTCTATGGGGGTCTATGGGTCCTATGGGGGGCTGGGTGCTATGGGGGCCTATGGAGGCCTATGGCAGTTATGGGTGGCTGCTGGGTATATGAAGGGATGTACAGGAGTGGATTAAGTGTCTATGGGGGGGCCTGGGTGTGTCCATGGGGGTCTATGGGCCTGTATGGGAGACTAGGGGGCTACGAGGGTGTCTGGAGGGGCTGGTCGGGGCTATGGGGTCTAAGGAGCTATGGAGTGAGATTGAGCAGATGGGGAGTCTATGGGGCAGTATGGGCGGGGTTGGAGATTTATGGGAGTCTATGAGGCAGTATGGGGGGTTTGGGGGTCTATGGGAGTCTATGGGGCAGTAAAGGGGGTTTGGGGGTCTATGGGAGTCTATGTGGCAGTATGGAGGGGTTGGGGGTCTCTGGGAGTCTATGGGGCAGTATGGGGGGGGTGGGGATCTATGGGAGTCTATGGGGCAGTATGCAGGAGTTGGGGGTCTATGGGAGTCTATGGAGCAGTATGGGGGGTTTGGGGGTCTATGGGAATCTATGGGGCAGTATGGGGGGGTTGGGTATCTATGGGAGTCTATGGGGCAGTATGGGGGATTTGGAGGTCTATGGGTGTCTATGGGGCAGTATGGGGGGGTTGGGGATCGATGGGAGTCTATGGGGGAGTATGGGGGGTTTGGGGGTCTATGGGAATCTATGGGGCAGTATGGGGGTTTTGGGGGTCTCTGGGAGTCTCTGGGGCAGTATGGGGGGTCTGATGAGAGTCTATGGGGCAGTATCCATATGGGGGTCTATGGGAGTCTATGGGGCAGTATGGGAGGGGTTGGGATCTATGGGAGTCTATGGGGGAGTATGGGGGTATGGGGAGTATGGGGGTTTGGGGGTCATGGGAGTCTATGGGGCAGTATGGGGGGTTTGGGGGTCTATGGGAATCTATGGGGCAGTATGGGGGGTTTGGGGGTCTCTGGGAGTCTCTGGGGCAGTATGGGGGGGTTGGGGATCTATGAGAGTCTATGGGGCAGTATGCGGGGTTGGGGGTCTATGGGAGTCTATGGGGCAGTATGCGGGGTTGGGGGTCTATGGGAGTCTATGGGGCAGTATGGAGGGGTTGGGGATCTATGGGAGTCTATGGGGCAGTATGGGGGGTTGGGGATCTATGGGAGTCTATGGGGCAGTATGCAGGAGTTGGGGGTCTATGGGAGTCTATGGGGCAGTATGGGGGGTTGGGGATCTATGGGAGTCTATGGGGCAGTATGCAGGAGTTGGGGGTCTATGGGAGTCTATGGGGCAGTATGGGGGGTTTGGGGGTCTATGGGAATCTATGGGGCAGTATGGGGGGGATTTGGGGATCTATGGGAGTCTATGGGGCAGTATGGGGGATTTGGAGGTCTATGGGTGTCTATGGGGCAGTATGGGGGGGTTGGGGGTCTATGGAGAGGTTTATGGGGTCTGGGGTAGCTGTGGGGGTGAGGACACTGGGGGGTTGTGGGGGTTTCAGGGTACATGGGGGGGGTACAAGTGCCCCAGGGCTGTGCGAGAGCCCCCGGCCCCCTCCCACCTCCCTCACTGGGGCTCACTGGAGCGGACCGGTCCCCCCAGTCCGCTGCAGCCCCCCAGCACCTTGGGGGGGTCTCTCCTGGCCCCTGACCCCCATCACCCCCCCAGGGGAAAACCTACGTCTTCGACCGCGTGTTCCCCCCCAACACCACCCAGGAGCAGGTCTACCACGCCTGCGCCATGCAGATCGTCAAGGGTGAGGCCGGGGGGCCCTTAGGGGGCCCTGGGGGGTCATGGCTGGGGCACCCCCCTGCAGGGCCACCCGCACCCATGGGGACACGGAGGGTGCAGGGGGTGACAGGAGCGGGTTGGGGGAGGGGTGGTGTTGGCGAGGGGGGGATGCTCGGGGGGGTCCTTTTGGAGGGGGGGGGGTCCAGCAGGTCCTGGGGCTCTGCAGCACTTTGGGGAGGTTCGGGTGTGTCTGTGGGGTCCTTGGGCACCATTGGGGGTCTCGGAGGGGATCTCCGGGTCCTTGGGGGGGTCACAGCTCCTTTGGCTGCCCCTTGGGGTTCAGGGGAGTCCATGGGGGTCCGGGGGGGTCCCAAGGGGGCTCGTGCGCACGCTCCCCCTGCAGATGTGCTG